TGTCGAGGATGTAATAATCGCCGATAAAAGGTACACATCCTACTCTTTCGACTCCCTCCTATCCGTTGGCCGGAGCAACCCTAAGACCGAGCACAGTACTTCCTTCAGTTCCAGTGACGCCGTTTGCAGCGTCTCCACTGTGGACTGGTACCATAGATCGCTATGTCTTGGGAGTCAAGTAGACCAGATACTCGAAAACTCTGTTGTCCAAATCTTCTAGAAGGTTCGTATTGAAGTAAATAACCGGGCCAAAACGTATGTGTAACTCATGTTATTGAGCATGGTTAACTTCTTACCATTTGACGTCAAAATGGTAAATCAAATTCTTTCCATTTCCCATAATAAGTTTTATCGTGTGCACGTGCTTTCAGATTAAATTTAAGCTAAAGAGAGGTCGTTCCCGCATGGACGAGTTTTTTGCGAATACTTCTACGAAATGGTGATATTTTGCCTAGGAAGTACTCCCGGACAATATTCATCCATGGAACCAATTTAGTCAATAGCAAGCTCACGGATGAATCCCTGAAAGTCTGGATGTATTCCAACTTTTCCAAGATCAGGAGTTAGCATGCTAATCGATTTTTAAATTGCACGAGCTTAAAATAGTATTCTGAAGTCAAACTAAGAGCCAGTCATAGATGAATGGAAAGTTTAACGAGCCTATATTAGCCAGTAATCAAAAGTTTTCATTCGTCAAATCACCATGGTTCACTTCGAAATGTGAATTTGAATCTAATTGCTCCTCCTCATGGTGACTTGGATCTTCTTGATGATGTCACTGCGATCCATTTCTCTCAGGGTTTCGATTACATGTCCATACTGCTCCTCGGCTTCTCCTATGAGGAGTACTTCGAATCAGGCCTCAATTTTGCTCTGTAGGTTCGCTTCTGTCTTATCTCCTTTTCGTCTATAACAGACAAGACCCATCTTCTTGCAAGAATGTCGAGGAAGCGATCCAAGTTCATGATGACGTTCTTGTCTTTCAATACGTCAAAACTGGGCATCAGGATTATCATCAGATGGCCCCTTGACCCCTGTGAAAATTTTACAAGAACACATAAATATTGTAAGGTAAATCTTTTTCCCAACCATTGTCGCGCACGCTAGGTTGTATAGAACACGAGAGCGTCAGAAACACCCTATCCAAGAGATGCTCTTCATGTTCATTATTCATTTCCTCCTTCCTCTGCCAAGATCTGAGTTTTTTTCTCAACTATATTAGAATGTCCAATGCATCAGCGTTGTACAAGGTGTCTTATTAGAAGTACGGTGATTTTCTTTTGAATAAATCTGTGACGGATATAAAAGATACTTAATTCTTATGGATTTTTAGCCGGAATTTGGAGATAAAAATTTAATAAGTGTACATCCCAGAACAAGGACTAGGCCCTGATTTATATGCAACGGAGTATCAAAGTGGTGCATGTCAGATGTTGAGGCGTGTGTAAATGCTGAGTACGGATGCAGTAAGATGGAAGCTGGCCCGGTTTATTATTAGCATACCTTGCAAGAAATCCCTGATATCCTTTCTTTCCATGTCCTCCAGTGCCTCGTAGAACTTGGGGATGCATTCTTGTGGGTTTCTCAAAAAGAGGATGTCAAAGAGTTCTTCAAATTGTTCACGAAGGTATGGCATCATACTTATATGTCGATCCTCCATGACTGTGATAACATTCCTGTCTCTTAAACTGCGTTGTAAATCATTTGGATTGAGGTGGAAGTGATCCCTTAGCTTCAGCCTGTTCCGTCTGATCCTGTCCCACGATAACATCCGTTCTGTGGAGAAAAAAGAACTCAAATACTCCCAATGTACAATGATTACATGAATTGAACTAATGTTTCCTACATAGCTTTCTCATAAAGTGAATGAATGTAGTCGATGGAAATATCCCTGAAGAGGTTCTTCAGAAGTTTGTGATATTATTCTGGCTCTAATATAGGCTCAGCTCCTCGGTTTACCCATTCTTTTTTTCATTCCTGAAGGTTCTCACCAATCGCTGCTGAGAGACATCTAGGGTGAGCGGAAATTCGGTTCTCATGGTGATGAATACGCTTGGTCATGATTGACTAACGCATAACATCATGTACAGCTCTGAAAGACCATTCTAGCAATATAGCACAAGACTAAGTTCATTCAATTGAATAAAAAATGATTTCTTTGAATATTATGAATTTTAAATTGAAAACAAAAGTTATAAAAAAAGACGCATCAAATCATATATCGTTACTAGCAAGTTTGGCCCTTCAGGCAAACAAACTCGCTGTGGTGGCGCCCCTTCGGCTCTCCATTGTCCAATATTCATTCATTAATTCATTCAATGCATAGGTGCCATCTTTGCTTGGGCTTCGGCTTTATCGGGATTCAGACTCCATACTCATACTTCGCTCCATTTCATATTTTTATTTTTATTTTTTCTTGAACCGTGAATAAATGATTCAGTCGCAAAAAAAACGCGTAAACACGCAAACGAGCACGTTTTTTGTAAGCACGTTATTTTTAAAAGTGCTGCCAAGCATTTTATGTCTTTCCACTATTAAGTAAACAATGTTGCTCTGTAGGTGCTCAATGCTGCTCATGTTTCATTACAGGGAGTAAAGAAAGAATTCCATATTCTTGTGGGTAAAACAGGGGTCGTTTTCGCTATTGGAGGAACGTGGGGTTAGAGCCCTGCACAAGCTGTGGCCCGACCCGATCGCTCCCCCCTCCCGACCCGAATCGAGAGCCGTCTAGGGCCGAACTGTGAAACATCCATTTTCAGCTTTTAACATTTGCATGTTATCGTTCGTATGGTCTGAGACCATGGGAACTCAGTGTTAAGACTGGAATATTATTTATGCATGTAATCTGTGAGAAGGTAAATAGTAAACTGTTGACAATGAATGGAAATAATGGAAGTATGATGTTTAGATGGGCATAAGACAGTTTGTGCCTTATGAGGCTCTTTCTCTTCCAAGAAATATTCTCCTGTCAGTCGAATATCGACGGGCTCCTGTTGGACGCTGTTGTTGTACGCAAAAACTACTTGGAATTATGAGTAAATACACAGGAAAACATGAATTACAAATTTAAGGTCGGGAGTCGGCCATGAGATTGGGTTGGAATTCGGGTTTCAAGATCAGAGTCAAAATTAAAGGGTTTCGAAGCCGTCTTGCTTCAGCCAATGATTATCAAGGGTGCCAAGGGCAAACATTGGTTTGTACCTTCCTGAGCTTGTATTTCTTCATGGAAAATTGTATTCAGCCTATGAGTGTGGTACTTGTAAAACGTTGATGTAAATATACAGTTTGAACCCTGGGTACCAAAAAGTTGGCCCGCGCAAGACTCTACCGGGAGTAGTAGCATCGTGGTGGAAAAATTCAAAAGTTTAAAATGTCGTTCTGTTACTTCGTCGTTCGCGACGTGCAGTCAATGTAAATAGTCCTGTCAACAGTTCAGATCCGATTCACGAAGAAACTTGCTTGAGGGACTCATGTGGGCGAAGCTCAAGTCTAACCCTCGGAACTAGGGCAGAGCCCAATTTTTTCCGAAGTTCCCTCACTTTTGGAACACCCTGTAACAATGCCGTTCTGTAGTCCCTTCCGGTGTTTCATTCCAGGGAGTGAAGAAAGAATTCGAAATGTTTCGTTGATAAAACAGAAGTCATTTTCACTATCGTGGGAATCCGGGGTTAGAGCCCTGTACTGCTTCAGCCATTCCCGAACGCACCGATCCGACGCGACCCGACCCAGGGACCGTCTAGGGTCGAACATTTCACGATCCTTTTCGGGTCGGGTAGAGTCGAGCCGAATTTTCCGTTTGAATTCAAGTTTCGGGTCGGTGCGGACCATGACTCGAATCGGGCGTATCGGGTCGGGCCGCGGTAAATCGGCCTGTGCAGGACTCCGCAAGTGTAGCATGAGGTGAAAATTTTGATTGCACATCCTGCCTTGAAGATATTTCAAATCTGATTGCTAAATACACCCCTCTTGACCATAGGCTTTCGAACAATGCATAACATGTCAGGATATATATTAGCATCTCTTCACAGCGCGGCTTACAAACATACATTAACGTATCTAATATATATAGACGATCGTGACTGAGTGACGCTATCAATCTAGCAAAACCGTAAAAAAATGAATCCCCTCAATCGCATGCGCGAATCGCGAGGTAATATCCCCAAACAGTAAGGGAAATGTAAACAATTTGGCGAAATCTCAATTTCGGGAAACGTCAAGGATGCAGAGTTCAGAAAAAATCCGACTTTGGAGGTACATGCCCTGGGGGTACAAGTTTTTTGGGGGGAATCGCTTATTTTAATTATATTTCGTGACATATGAGGATGGCATTCAGAAAGACAACTGGTTGTGCTGGGTTCGGTGGTGTAGAAGTAGCATCTCTGACTGGCAATCAAAAGATCTGGGTCCTGACCCTGCCATTCCTTGGCTCTGTTTTGCCTTTTGGCATTCCATGTCCCGTTTCTCATTTCCCCTCCGTAAGATTATTTTTGCTTGAGTAAAACGGAGAGGCATGGAAAGCAGAAACTTGGCATGGACGATGAGACGATCTACCGAGACGATGAGTTCAGGAAAAATGAAAAATTTTCGATCCATGCCATGGAGCAGATTTTTGTGAGCCGACGTTTTCAAGTATTTCTTTGTCCTAGCGTATTGAGGTAGTGTGGAAAGATGAAACTTGGTACATAACTACTTATTGGGATGAAGCAGAAAACTTCAGACTTTAGAAGTAAATGCCCTGGGGGCAAAAATTTGAAAGGGATATGTTTACAACTAATATTTTGCATCAGTTAAAGTGATGAACATGGAAAGCTGAAACTTTGCATGAATGTGACTACTGAGACAAAGAGTTAAATAAAAATGTTAAGTTTAGATTCATCCCCTTGGGAAATTTTTTCTATGGGCGATGTTTGGAAAAAAAATTGTTGTGGCGAATTGGACAGAAATGGAAAGATGAAACTTGGCACACGTATAAGTGACATATTACTGAGCTGAGGCTTTCATGGGGCATCTGTTCCGGGCTCTTGGGTGAGTCGCTTTTCCAAATACATTTTTTCCGCGAGCAAAAATGGCAAACGTCTAAAGCTGAAAATGTGTTTCATGGAGTTCCCTGAGTCTAAATTTCAAAAGAAAAAAAAATTACGTTAAAACCCATCTGGGCACTTTTTTCAGTCCTATTTTCCTGATTTTTTTTTTGATCCAACGAAACAAAGACAGAAAATTTAAGCTCACACCCTAAGGTGTAAGATAAGTTCGGGAAAAATGAAAAATTGTAGATACATGCCTTGGAACGTGTTTTTTTCACCAGCGAAAAGGGCAAACGTATGATTTTGCAACTTTGTGGGCATGTAGTATACTGAGGATGGATTTCGGAAAAAAGGAGGTATTTTTCAGTTAAAACGGCTCACGGCATATATTTTGCAAGAAGCGTAATTTCCCGAAATTTTCTGATCAAGGAAAACAAATGGCGCATGAAGGTTTAAACTTCGCAAAGAAGTACTTAATGGATAGCTGAGTAAAGAAAATTTTTATTATTTTGCATCAGCTAAACTGATGAACATGGAAAGCTGAAACTTTGCATGAATGTGACTACTGAGACAAAGAGTTAAATAAAAATGTTAAGTTTAGAAAATACAAAAATATATAGCTTTAAGAGGGTTAGGCCTACCCTAAAATTAAGGAACGCTCCACCTCGACACGCGATATCGAAATGGGCGAAATCGCCTCTTGATATCACTAACTCTCCTGACTCCTGACTCCTGACATGCCTTGGAACGTGTTTTTTTTTCACCAGCGAAGAGGGCAAACGTATGATTTTGCAACTTTGTGGGCATGTAGTATACTGAGGATGGATTTCGGAAAAAAAGGAGGTACTTTTCGGTTAAAACGGCTCACGGCATATATTTTGCAAAAAGCGTAATTTCCCGAAATTTTCTGATCCAGGAAAACAAATGGCGTATGAAAGTTTAAACTTCGCAAAGAAGTACTTAATGGATAGCTGAGTAAAGAAAATTTTTATTATTATTAGATAAGTAGCTATTCTCATGCTGAGTTCAGGAAAAAGTATACTTTAGTGATACCTGCCATAGGTGCACACCCTTTCGAGGAACATATATTCAAATCTCTTCATTGAAACGGAGACACATGGAAAGCTGAAACGTGGCAAGAACGTGACCGTTGACGCACTGAGCTCAAATATGCTGTTTTCCCGAAATGTTCCACTATTCAGGTACATCATCTGGGCTCTTTCTTGGGGGGAGGGGGTGGGGTTTCAAATAATTTTATTTCTGCAGCCACTCAGATAGACAAGGAAAGCTGAAACTTGGCAAGGACGTGTCTAATGATAAGCTGATTTCATGAAAAGTTCCACTTTCTGATACATGCCCCATCAGCATTTATTCCAAGGGAGACGTTTTCAAAATGAATTTTTTCGTTTCCGTCAAATGGAAGGACAAGGAAAGCTGAAACTCGGAATGAACGTGGCAACTCATGCTGGTTCCTCGAAAAGTTTTACTTTTCAGATACAGCCACACTGGTCATTTTTTTTATTGGGAACATATTTTAAGAATTTCTCAGGCTCGAGAGTAATCGGACAGGGATAGACATTAAAACTGTGTCCTGAAAAAGTCGACCTGCAAGATGGATTTGGAAGCAGAGGAAGTCCTCTTAGGAGTATTTCCAATTGTCGGAGCGCCTGGTTAGACCTGTGCACCTGGTTAAAAATTCATGCATGTAGTTTACTGAGGATTGATTTCGGTGCAAATGGTACTTTTCCGTTACAACGCCCAAGGGCACATATTTTGCAAAAGGCGTATTTTCCTGATTTTTCTGATTTAGCAAAACGGAGGGCGCTAGAACGTTTAACTTTGGCAAAGAAGTACCTGATGGATAGCTGAGTAAAGAAAAAATTCTAATTTTTATTATATATATATACCATTGTGAGTAGCTGAATAACTGACATAAGTAGCTATTCACATGCTGAGTTCTGGAAAAATTTCCCTTCAATACTTTGGTGATATTTGCCATAGGGGCACACCTTTTAGGGGAACATATTTTAAAATACTTCTCTTTGCTTCGTTCTAGCGGAGACACATGGAAACCTGAAACTTCGCAAGAACGTGACCGTTGACGCACTGAGCTCAAATGTCAAACGTCAAATTTCCAAAATATTTTCGGTGTTCAAATTTCTTAGGGACGTTACGTTTTCAAATAATTCTTCATATCCTACCGAATCGGGCAAAGCTAGAAATTTAGGTGGCGCACTCATAACTGACGTGATGTTGATTTCAGAAAAATTCAACTTGTTTGTGCGTCTCCTCACAGCACAAGTTTTGGCTGAGTCGCTTTTCCAAATACATTTCTTCCGCCAGAAAGAAGCGGAAACGTATAAGGCTGAAACTGGGTGGCATGGAGTTCCCTGAGTCTATATTTCAGAAGAAAAAATTTTTTCGATAAAATCCATTATGGCGCTTGTTTCACTCCCATTTTCCTGGCTTTTTTTTGATCCAACGAAACAGAGACAGAAAATTTAAACTTCCCTCAGAAGTACCTGTTTGATTGCTGAGTTCAGGAGAAACCATACTTTTAAAATATGTCCCAATAGCGTAGATTATAGGAGGGAGGTATTTCAAAATGTAGCCACCACCCTTACAAAAAGGGACACCTGAAACGAATTCAAGTTAGGCACACTATAAATCATGGAAGTAATGATTTTGATGAAAAAAAATCATTACTTTCGACCCCGTTTGTCACGTTTTTCAATGGGAACGTCCTTTAAGTACGTGCTTGCCATGTCGCAAAGAATAAATGAATTAATCACTATCGAAGGTAATGGAGCGCCGAAGGCGCGACAATAGTGAGTTTTCTTGTCTTCAGGCAAACAAACTCACTAGTTTCCCGTACAATCATTATAGGCTGATTCTAATCAAGTGCTGAGCAACCCAGCGCTGGTGAACATCAAGCTACCAAATCACAGTTGCCATAATTTTTCACTCGTTTCGCTGTTTTCATCGGACAATTTTCACTCTTTTTGCTTCTTTGGTAATACCCAGAAATTGGATCACTAACTATATTATCCTGAAATTTCTTCAATATCGTTGGTAATCGAAATGAACACAATTCATTTGATAAACGGTATTATTTCAATGCAAGTATTTGGCTATGGAACGCATTATGAAAAGAGTCCGATTCATAATCTTGAGAGATTCCAACAAAAAATCTAGCAAAGCACTTCCAAATACCTCAAAGAACCAATACTGTTCTCTATGTCCCTCTCTCTTTTCATCCAAGCCTATAATGGAAGCACTCACCAGGGGCTGATTGAGGAGTGGCGCCATTTCGCCGTTCAGGAGAATCGTTAGTGTCTTCTTGGTGGAGACCCATTTCTTTCTTCAACTCTTCTGCAATGAGAAAACCATGTCAATAGTGCAAAAGCAAGCAAGAATCTATGATGAAAATGTGATTTTGATTTTCATGACGAATTTCAGCGTAAGACATTTCAAATTCGGCAGCGTTACTTTCAATTTCCTCAGCGCTCCTATCTCCTCAACATTTTTATTGTCATTATATCAATACATTCATTGTCTACAGGTGACTTTCGATTTCAGCACCCGTTGTTTTAATTTCGGCAGCACAAGGGAATCTACTGTTTTTGGTAATGAACATGGGGGTGGGGAGTGTGGAAGGAAAGGGCACCAGCGCATAGGGTATTTCCAGTGAATAAACAGTTTTACTCGCATGGTGGAAAACACATGGACACTGATACTGTTTCTATTCCTCAATATGTTCTCTCCCTTGGGATCTGATCAAGAATGTTTGTGCATGGTGAAACCACGCAAAGCACTTCTGCTGGGTTATTGAGCCCCGTATGAGCGTTTGCCATTATCGACATTTCAAGATACATGAGCTGCATCTTTCTGAAACACGGGTAGAATTTGGGCGACGAAGACCAGAACAAAACTAGCAGGAAAGTCTTATGAAGGCGCTGCTCGAAATAGGAGATGCAGCAGTTTGACAAATAATATATCAGAAGTACTTTGCATGGTTTCACCATGCACAAACATGCATACATACATACAAACATGCATACACACATACGTAAATAAAGGTGTAAATAAATCAGTAACGTGGATCATCGTTTAGGGAACAAATGTACTTGCTGAAGGCTTTGGAAGAAAGCAGCCTAAAAATAATTATTGCAGGCATCACTAACATCATGTGATATTCTTGGAAAATGTATTGACCCGATTTAAAAGTATAGCTAACGTGCCATGTCCCAGGTACCACTAATCGAAATATGTTAATAAAAGGCTACGGGAATAAAATATACTCATTGCAACATACAACGCTTTATGGAAGCATGGGAATGAAGTATTGGTGGATAAACTGAGGCACGCACATTAGAACTACTCAGCTGGAAATCTGAGATCTGGAAGGTTCGAAGCTTACTGACAATTTTTCGAACACCTCAGAGGAAGGGAATAAAAAGAAATGACCAATGGTAACATTGTTATAGATTCGAATGAGTTCCTGTAAGAAGTAGCCTATAAGCCCTATTAGAAGTGAACAATGCAAGAGGAACAAGGCCCCAATCCATTGATTTTCATTTAGATATATCTGTGACGGTTACAAAAAAAACTTAATTCTTATAGATTTTTGGCCGGAATTTGGTGATAAAATTTTAATAAGTGTACATCCCAGAACAAGTAACAATTTTTTAACTGGGGCTTGTACAAGCAGGTGACTGGCATTCCTATTGGTTGATAGCAGAAAGTAGTGTTAGGCCCTGATTTATATGCATCAGCGTATAAAGTGGCGCATGTCCAATGCTGAGACGCGTGCGAACACTGAGTTGCGGCTGCAGCAAGACTGCAGCTGATACGGTTTACCAATAGCACATTAGCATACCTTGCAAGAAATTCCTGATATCCTTTCTTCCCATGTCCTCCAGTGCCTCGTAGAACTTGGGGATCCATTCTTCTGGGTTTTTCTTGAAGAGGATGTTAAAGAGTTCTGCATATTGTTCATGAAGGTATGGGTTCATACGAATATGTCGATCTTCCATGAATGTGATAACATTCTTGTCACTTAACGCGCGTCGCAACTCAACTGGATCGAGGTTGAAAACATCCCTTAGCTTCGGCATGTTCCATCTGATCCTGTCCCACGATAACATCCGTTCTGTGTAGAAATAAGAACTCTAATAATTCCAATGTACAATGATGACATGAATTGAACTGTTTCCTCCTCTTGACTTTGTGCTGCCATAACTCTTAAAAACACGACATGGTACTTGATTTTCAATACCTTTCACGATAGCAATGGCTTCTCTCTTTTTTGCTTGACATCACTTTCTCTTCAAGTGAATGAATGTAGTCAATGGAAATATCCCTGAAGAGGTTCTTCAGAAGTTTGTGATATTATTCTAGCTCTAATATAGGCTCAGCTCCTCGGTTTACACTTTAATTTTTTATTACTCAAGGTGCTCACCAATCGCTGCTCAGAGACATCTAGGGTGAGCGCAAATTCGGCTCTCATGGTGATGAATACGCTTGGATATGATTGACTTACGCATAACATCGTGTACAGCTCTGAGAGACAATTCTACCTATTTAGCGCAAGACTAAGTTCATTCAATTGAGGAGAAAATGATTTCATTGAATATTATATTTTATAAATTGAAAACAAAGGTTATTCAAAAAAGACACATCAAATCATATATCGTTGCTTGCGAGTTTGGGTCTTCTGTCGCGTCTTCTGCTCTCCATTGTCCAATATTCATTCATTACTCTATTTTCAAGGTGGCAAAAACGTATTAAATTATGTGCATCTCGAAAGTTGCATCGAGAGAGAACTAACTGATATTTTTCGTCAAAACAATTACTCCGATTGTTTCTTGTGTGCCTAGCATAAATCTCATCATAATCTGTCATGAGTGGTTATATTAGAAAAGTAGGATATGCACTCAGCAATAGAACAATTGCTTTTGAGCCAGTTTTTAAATATCTTTAGTTTTCTCTTTTGTTGGATCAAGAATGATTCCGGAAAATGGGATTTTCACAAAGAACTGTACCCTCAGGAGTTTTACATAAAATCGTTTTTTTTTTTCCTGATTTCTGAAATCAGTACTTGGAGAGCAGTTACATTCCAAGTTTCAGCCTCATCTCATCCGTTTCCTTTTTTGCTGGTGCAAAAATGTATTGGGAAAAGTTGATGCAACCAAAAGTTGTGGCCTGAGGGTATTCTCCTCAAAACTTGAAAATTTTCTGAACTCTCTATCACCTCAGTCATAGGTGTGGCAAGTTTCACCTTTCTATTGATATTTCGGACTAATTGAAAGGAAAAAAATGCACCCAAATAAAAAAAATGCAAATAAAAAAAAAGGAAAAATATGCGCCCAGGGCATATTTTTCCATTGGCATCCGAAACTAGAAAATTTTCCTGAACTTAGAGTGCCAGTAGGCACGTCCATGTCAAGTTGCAATTTTCCATAATCGTCCGTTCGACAAGCGCAAGAACATTTTTTGAAAATATCACGCCTAGAAATCTACGCTCCCGGGCATTTGCTTCCAAAGTCTGAATTTTTTTTAACTCAGCATCCCAATAGATACGTATGCTTGAAGTTTCAACTTTCTTTCTTTGCTCAATTCGGTAAGACAAAAAAAATGATTTGTAAACGTCAACCCCCTGAAACATGCCCCAGGGCATGCATCCGAAACTTGCTATTTTTTTCTGAACTGATTGTCTCAGTAGGTTCGTCCATGCCAAGATTCAGTTTTCCATGTTTCTCCGTTTCACTGAAGCTAATATATATTATTGAAAACATATCCCCCCAAAATGGGTGCTCTCAGGGCATGTACCTCCAATATCTGCTTTTTTCTGAACTCTGCATCCCAAAAAGTACACATGTACCAAGTTTCAGATTTCTTACTTTTCTCAAACATGGTTAGAATTAGGGTCACTCAGCCACGATCGTCTATACAAATTAGATTAAGAGTTCAAGCTCTCCCATCTAATAACACTAATCAAGACAGAAAGTGCCCCTCCACATAAAAAAATACTCTACCAAATATGACCACATGTGAGAAATTTTCGGCGCGAACTTCTTTCCATGTAACGGACTAAGAGACAAAAAAATTACTTGCTTAAAGTGCAACTTATTATAACGAGCGATATGCCTTTTCCCTCGCTACGTGGGGATTTTGACGGGTCAAATATGCATGCATTTTCATGTTGTGAAGCTTAAAAATGAGGATGAAATTTCATTTCAACCAAGAGGGCTATATGCAGTGGTTTTTAACGCTTATTGAAGAACAATGGTTGAAGTCATTGCACGCCTCCCTATGATCGACGTTTCCCGAAATTGAGATTTCGCCAAATTGTTTACATTTCCCTTACTGTTTGGGGATATTACCTCGCGATTCGCGCATGCGATTGAGGGGATTCATTTTTTTACGGTTTTGCTAGATTGACAGCAATCACTGATAATTTGAGTCGGTAAATCCGAGATAGTGGAGCGCATTGCCCGGTTGAGTTCGAATGGAACAACCTGTAGGCCTTGTGAAATACCTGATGTTGTTGACTGGATATTCTTGCCTAAAATTGTAGGATCTTCGGAGAGCAAGTATTAATAATTAGTGTCTTTATGTGACCAAGCGGACGAAATCAATTTTTTTTGCTGTGCGAAACCGAGTTGCCGCTTTAGGAACCTTCCTTCGATAACGGAATCAGTATTCTTATTGTGAAGCTCTTGCCAATGTGGTTATTGCGTATCGTGGTTCGACCACGACCGATAAAAGCTTTTGCATCTGACCTCGGGACAAGGAAATGAAAAAGTATCACTGAATATCATTGACGCAATCAGCCGTGCTTCAGAGCGCAAATGGAAGAAGCACCAAAAATGATTTTTCACCTCTAATTCACACTATTTTCCCGTTGCCTTATTGTAACAGCATTCGTTGAATGCTGTTTATTTTCCATACAATCATACTTCAAAGTCAAATAAATTATTGAGATGAAATCCATATATTCTCTCATGTAGAGAACAAAATACCTCTCTCAGAAAAAACTGGCGTTTTTATTGTTTGCTCTACCCATTACTCCAACCATGAACTACAATGAGGTCTGCGAGTGTATTGTGACAATGTGTATTCCTTGTAATATATTGCGAATGCACATACGACTTGAAATACAGTACATCAAGGCTAGACAGACAGAGGACACAAAAAGTGTGACGCACAAAAACACAAGGACGGGTCAGCAATTGGCACGAACCCAGGCGATTGCTTCATGGTCCACACTGTGCAGTTTCGTAAGTCCACCAGGAAGGCCCTCACGGACAGCACAGCAGCCCAGTAAATGAGCAGGGTTCTCGACCGCACCACAGCAGAAGTGTGGGTTGTCACGAAGGCCCCTCTTGTAGTCTGTCAGCGCAACGGGTTGTATCGCAGCGTTGATGTTAACCCATAGGTGTCGAGGTAGGTTGAACCCAGTGATGTGGTCCTCCGGGTTGGTGATCAGGTAGGAGTTCTTGGGGCTGGCTCTTTCCCACTCTGAGCGCCATCTGTCTGCAGTGGTGGGAGCTGTTGAAAGTTCCTGGATGTAGTGCTTCTTCCTGATGGGGTGACTAGAAGTCAGTCTCATGGCAGGGGGGTTCCAGATGTCAGTATGGATTAGGAGTTGGGGCATCTGCTTCAATCGGAATAGCAGCTTGCGCATTGCCTCTTCGCGTCGGGTGTTGGCAAGAACAGGGACCCATGCCAGAATGGTGGGTTTCATGCACCCAGTGATCGTCCGTATGGTCGGGTTTAGCTGTGTATCCACCTGCTTGGCATGTGCAGAGTTCAGTCAAACGGGGGCGCAGTACTCTCCGGTCGAAGAACAGAGCGTCAACCCAGAGCTGCGCAGTGTCTGGGCATTTGCACCCCACGTAAAGCCTGCCAACTTGCAAAGAAGCGATTTCCGACTTGTAACTTTCTGTACAGTCTTTGTCAGGTGGTCTTTGAAGGTGAGTGTCCTGTCTAGGATAACACTCAGGTAAATTGGCTTGGGGTCATGAGCCAGTTTCTGTCCATTCATAAAGATCTTGAGTTCATGGGAGCGCTGGGCGTGGTGGAGGTGAAAACAACTTGAGACGGTCTTGCTCACACTTGGGTTTAGCCTAAATTTTCCTGTAATTTTTGCAATGTAATGACTTCGCATTCTTTCTGACGTTACGCAGCGCTGTATTCCGAGCTTATGGTAGACAGCATGAGTAAAGCACGGCTTGGAACCTTACGTTACCTGCAAAACTTCATCTTAGTAAATACGCAATAGGAGTATGCAGTTCTTACTTTTAACCTCCGACTCATACCGCGCATGTAGGGCTTCCTTGTGATGATGCCTCTCTTGCAAATAATTGCATTCAAATTATACTTCTAGGAATGAAACCAGAAGAAATCCAGGAGGTTAATAATGTAAAAGTATGGGCTAAAAATTTGCCTAACTTCGAATGAGACGATTCAAAGTGAAACCGGAAGGATGGAGTGCACCTGATTCGTGAATCACTAAGCGACGTCTGATCGGTGCTGAAGACCTAACTGGAAAATAGTTAAATCGTGGAAAGCAGACGCAATTCAAATTGACATATCATACATGATGACCCCAGCATATTGCTGGATGCACCTTCACACCGTGATGCATGATTACAATGATTTAAGTTTTTGTGAAGAGCAGCCTGGCTCCTTATTTCAGAATGACAGGTAGCGGGACGCAGGGAATTTATGTTCTCATCATTGAGTATCTCGCAAAAGACCAATACTTTCTTTTAATGGAGCGGTAGATAACAACGTATATCAACTTCCCACAAGCACGGGTTGAATAAAAAAAAAAATTAGGTGCTCTGTCCCACTTAAGGTACGAAGAATTTGTACAATGGAAGCACAGCACTTCCCCTCGCCTGTCTCCTTCCTCTTTTCGCCAGTCTCACTGGCTCCTGCTACTGACTTTTCAGTGGAAACGAGATCCGTCGCTCTTCTTGTGGGATACGAAGGGAAATGAATGATTTCTTTGACTCGTGTATTTTTGGTATCAATCCTTGTGCAGGCGGTACACACCCTAAGGCTCCAAGGGTAACGATGTTAATGAGCTGCATGTTATTGTAGATAATTATGAATCGAAAATGTGATGTTTACAAAGGAAATTTGGCAACGTATATCCCCCCTCCCTTCATGTAACTAAGTCCATACATCTCCTTTTTCTGAAACTTCTGCATATTTGCGTAGTGCCTTATTCTTTTGCATAGGAATGATCTCTGGGTGCAATGTGTTTATGGCATGCTTCAGATTGCTAAGGAGAAAATCGATTCTCTGGGATTCAAGATCTGCGAATAAATTTATTGGTGGGTCCCGAGAGAAGAACTGAGTGTGGTCACTCTTCAACCTTCTACGAATACTTAGCCATCTAATATATATAGACGATCGTGACTGACTGACGCTAATTCTAACCATTTTCTAGAGAAGTTAGAAATCTGAAACATGGTACACATGTACCTTTTGGGATGCAGAGTTCAGAAAAAATCCCACTTTGGAGGTATGTGCCTTGGGGGGAAACGTTTTCCTTAAATATATATTGTGACTGATCAGAATGGCATTCAGAGAATTAACGAAAAGTGCGGCGTCTGGTGGTGTAGTAGTAGCATCTCTGAGCGGCAATCCGAAGGTCCGGATTCAATTCCCGGCCATGTCTTGGCTTTCTTTTGGCTTTTTTTGCCTTCCATGTCCCGTTACTCATTTCCCCACCATAACATTATTTTTGCTTGAGTAAAACAGAGAGATACGGAAAGCTGAAACTTTGCATGGACGTGCCTACCGAGACGATGAGTTCAGGAAAAATGAAACACTTTAGATCCATGCCCTGGGGGCATATTTTTGTGAGTCGACGTTTTCAAGAATTTTTTTGTCCTAGCGTATTGAGCTGGTGTGGAAAGATAAAACTTGGTACATAAATACCTATTGGGATGCTGCAGAAAAATTCAGATTTTGGAAGTAAATGCCCTGGTGCACAAATTTCAAAGGAATATGTTTTCAAACAATTTTTTCAACTAATTTTTTGCATCAGTTAAACTGATAAACATGGACAGCTAAAACTTTTCAGGAATGTGACTACTAAGACAAGGTGACAAGGAGAGCACAGCTTTTAGGTGGGTTGCTTTTCCAAATATTTTTTTTATCCGCCAGGAAAAAGGGGAAACGTATAAGGCTTAAACTGGGTGGCATGGAGTTCCCTGAGTCTAAATTTCAAAACAAATAAATGTTCTTTAAAACCCATCAAGATCAAGACACTTTTTTTTCAGTCCCATTTTCCTGAATATTTTTTTTGATCCAACGAAACAAAGACAGGAAATTTATACTTCCCTCAGAAGTACCTGTTTGATGGATGAGTACAGAAAAAATCCTAATCTTGAATCCTAATTTTGAAATATGTTTCCTTAGCGTAGATTATAGGAGGGAAGTATTTCAAAATGTATTCTCCATCCTTACAAAAAGGGACACAAGAAGTTCAGCACTCCAGTCATCATAGAAGTAATGATTTTGATAAAAAATCAAGGCATTTTCTTCCCCAAATGTCACGTATTTCAATGGGGACGTACTTTAAATACATGTTTCCCATTTCGCAAAAAATTAATGGATAAATCACTATCCAAGGTAATGGAGCGCCGATGGCGCGACTATAGTGGGTTTGTTTGCCCGAAGGGCAAACAAACTCGCTAGTATACCATGTCCTTCAAGCAGTTAACGAGAGAGAATCTGAGATAGCACTTTGAAAGAGAATTTGAAATTGAACTTTTCTTCCCCCTTGAAGACATGGTCAGAACATTGAGATTTAGCCCTTTATTTTTTGATGGTACGACTAGCAAAGCCCCGCGCATATTGTGGGAAATTGCAATGTATCAATTTCCGGATTTAACGGCCAATACTTAGTATCATGAAGGTATATGGTCTAAAGGAAAATGTTTTGAACTCCACAATAGAATAGTAACAATAGGATTTTTGTATCTTGATTTTCATTGAATAACATGAAACATCTTATAAATTTTAGGGCACGAATCTCTAAATTGACTTTCGAAAATTGGTCACGTATTTTAAGTTCAAAACCTATTGAAACACGACATTAAGTGCATAGGTGCTATCTTTGCTTGGGCTTCGGCTTTATCGGGATTCAGGCTCCATATTCATATTTCGCTCCACTTCGTATTTTTATTTTTATTTTTTCTTGAACGGTGAATAAATAATTCAGTCACCAAAAAAAAAACCGCGTAAACACGCAAACGAGCACATTTTTTGTAAGCACGTTATTTTTAAAAGTGCTGCCAAGCATATTATGTCTTTCCACTATTAAGTAAACAATGCTGCTCTGTAGGTCCATGTTTCATTACAGGGAGTAAAGATAGAATTCCATATTCTTGTGGGTAAAACAGGGGTCGTTTTCGCTATTGGAGGAACGTGGGGTTAGAGCCCTGCACAAGCTGTGGCCCGGCCCGATCGTCCCCTCCCTCCCGATCCGACTCAAGAGCCGTGTAGGGCCGAACTGTGAAACATCCATCTTCAGCTTTTAACATTTACATGTTATGGTTCATCTGGTCTGAGACCATGGGAACTCAGTGGCATGACTGGAATCTTATTTATGCTTTTAATATGTGAGAAGGTAAATAGTACATTTTTGACAATGAATGGAAATAATGGAAGTATGATGTTTAGACGGGCATTGGACAGTAGTGTGTCTTATGAGGCTCTTTCTCTTCCAAGAAATTTTCTCCTGTCAGTCGACAATCGACGGCCTCCTGTTGGACGCTGTTGTTGTACGCAAAAACAACTCATATTGATGAGTAAATACACAGGAAAACATGAGTTAAAATTTTTAAGGTCGGGAGTGGGCCATGAGATTGGGTTGAAATTCGGGTTTCAAGATCAGAGTCAAGATTGAAGGGTTTCGAAGCCGTCTTGCTTTAGCCAATGACTATCAAGGATGCCAAAGGCAAATATTGGTTTGTACCTTCTTGAGCCTGTATTTTTTCAGGGAAAATTGTATTCAGCCTGCTTACTTGTAAAACGTTGATGTTAACCCTTTCGCTGTTAGCCCGAGTACGTACTCGGGATCTGAAACCAAGTCCTTTTAGGTTGTTACTCTTCTATTTATGAATGTAACTGACATACATTCGGTATTTAAAAAAATATCCACCCTTTTCTATATAACACGCCAACTTTTCGTCGACGTATATGACTTTCGGAAGCATTGAATAACAAAAAATAAATTGCGGTCCTTTATCGACCCATTCTGTAAAAATTGGCTTCCTACGCACTTAGTTTTGCATTAGAGGATGATTAAATAAATATAATTTCAAATGTTAATTGTGAAATTTACAAGTTTTCAAGTTCTTTCAGTAGTGAAAATGAAGGTGATGTAGAAATGGAAGTTGAAGCTGGAACTTAATATGAAATTTACGATGGTGGGAGTGGAGATGCAAGCAGGAATAGAGGCAGGCCAAGAGGTCGAAAAACTGTTATTGTGCCTGAGTTTAGCAAGAATCCCCATACAACTCATTTCTTTACTTTTACAGGAAATCCTGGGTTGAAATTGAATATTCCATTCTCCCTGTGATGACGATTCTGAAGGAATTTTCAGAGATGACCCGGGTCAATTTATATGTTCTTCGCAATATATGCTGAAGGAAACCACCTTGATCATGAAATAACAGAAACATACAGGTATACATTTGCATCAGACCTTATTTTAAACACAACACTAAATGAATATTCGAGGGTAACACAAAGGAGAAACCTATCTGAATAGGAATTTCGTACATTTATTTCGGAACTGATTTTAGGGCATTACAATACGGCCTTCTATTCAGTCTCTCTGGAAACTGATACACTTTTTATTATCCCTGCTTTTGGTAAAATCAAGTCTGTCCCATGGATTTATATGCATCTCAAAATTCGTGCACTTTTTTGATAACACTCTGGCTGTTTCTGGAAATAAATTTTTTAAACACATTTTGGTCTATCATCAATAGTCTTCAATATGGGACAATTTAAATTTAAACCATTGTTTCGCAGAGACACAATTGTGTCTCTGCGAGACAATGTATTTTAAACTGTATTTTAACCCTTTTGCGACACAACACAACACAATTCTTATAACACAGTGGAGGTCGTGAGAGCTGAAGATAAGAGCCAAAAAGAGATTGAACTTCACTGTGGCAGGCTGAGAAAAAGGGAGGAATTAATTAGGGAGACAACAAATGAACCAGCATCCTACAGCTATATGGAACAAAAAATATTACAGAATTTTCTACAACACAAGTGCCAAGCAAAAGCAGAAGTATGAGACTGGGAATCGTTCCCCAGAGAGTCCTTGATGCTTCCCGAAGAAACCGCTTGCTTCGCCTGGATGACGGGGTTCTCGTACTGGGTCCTCCGGTTCACGTGGTCGATGTAGTAGGTCCCGTAGTAGGGATCGTCGATCCTCTCCCAACCGAAGGGCAACTCGTTGTCGTCGCACTCTTCCAGTTTCTTCTTCTTCACCCTCTCCAGTCTGGGGTCCAGCCAGGAAGAGGTCCCAGTGTCGTGACTACAGTATTTCACACGATTCATCACATAACTGGAGGGAACAATGAACGACAAAGGAGGGAATGAACCGAGATGTTCTCACTTGATAAAGTATGGCTCCCCTTGTTCTGTGAATGCCTTTTCCCAGGCAGCTGGTAAAGGGCCAAGCTCAGGAGTCAAGGATCGCTGGTGACCATCAGAATACTCTGACTGTTGCTGCTGCTGCATTTGAGAAGGCATTTCACCTGCTTCGTACGGCTGACCTAGGATGACACGAAAGGAACGTCTTGGATCATCCGAGCCGCCTGGTGCGACGCGTGAAGGATGTTGGCTTAGTGCATCAGACCCAGGTCAGAATGGAATTAGGACTGTCACAGATGTCCCTTTTTATAGGTCTAAGAAAGAAACACGACATGCAGCTCGTGTGCTTTGCTGAACATTGTGTAACAGTCATTGTGAGAGAATCCAATTGAGAATCAGAGACAACAAGTCCAGATTATGTGCAGAGTAGAAACTCCTGAATTGCAACACTCATCAAGATCATGCAAAGAACATGCAAATGAACCTATGGGGAGAAAGGTAGCAAGCCAACAAAGACATCAAGGAATGACAGGCAGCCGGGGGAGGGGGATACTTCTCGGAAAGTATATCACACGAGATCGGAGAGAGATCACAGAAACAAAGAAGAAAAGAATGGAAACGGTCGAGACAGGCACTACAAGGAAATTCGCGTACCACCACCCACAGTGCCGTCACCTTCACCGTCCTCTTTACCGGTGCCATTCTCCCCGTTCTCATGCGACTTAGAAGCGTCAGAAGTACTCGACGAACCAGGGTCACCCTGGGACAGAGTTTCAGTACTTTTTGCTGCCATGGCTTCCACGTTGGAGCGATTCCTCCGCCTCTTCGCCTCGGACGAGGGATGCGCCCCGGGCAGCACCACGTCGGGTTGACCCGAGCTGTCTCCTTCCTCCGAGCTCTTCGGCTGACCGGGCAGTATCAACGGGCCGTCTGCCGCAGGCTTCGGAGTCCTGAGCGAATGACCAGGTGGAATTCTCCCTAGTGAACATTCTCCTGATTCCGTATCCACTTCCTACGCACCTGCCCGTTCAGTCAGGTGGGTGCATGTGGATTTTTTGGTTAATTTGTAACACTGATAACACTGAGATCCTTTCGAGGGAAATTGCCTTAGAACTAATGGGCAAAAATAGCTCTTGTTTAGAGCTGAGTTATAGATTGCACTTATGGTCAAGTAACTCTTGACCTCTTTCGCTAGGTCGATGAAGTCCAAGAGAAGATGCGTATGCTATTGGTCAAAGAACTATCTAATGACTCCGATGGGGATTTTAAAATTTCTTACGCGTGCAAAATGAGCTACAACTAGAGCTGCGAGATACTGTGCGGAAACAGCGTCTCGATACCGAATTAAAATTTAGATGCGATCGATGGAATGGTAGGCTGAAGGAAAATCATGTACTAGTAGGTCTCTAAGAATCGTATTTCATCAGTGAGTTAGACTCTGCATCCTTTGTCGTTTCTCTATCTAAATGTAGCTATTATTTCGAAACGGATTGCATCAGACATGAATTCCCTTCCTGGGCTATTCCTTTGCGGTATCTGTTCCCCCACTTCTCACTATTGATTAGAGATGGTTGCATAATTTCCTATACAATCATTATAGGCTGCTTCTAATCAAGTGCTCAAGAGCCCAACGATGGTGAACGTCAAGCGACGAAATAACAGTTGGCATAGTTGTTCACACGTTTCTGAGAAAGGTAGTCTGTTAAAAGTTACAAAAACGAAGAAGCCATTATGGGTCTTTACCCTAGTGATTGCTATAATAAGACTTTAAGGAAGTTATAGCAACCATAAACTTTACTTGAGTTAAGGAACCACGAGCTGTATCATTTTAATGAAAGCATTTGGCTTTGGAACGCAATATAAGAAGAGTCCGATTCATAATCGTGAGAGAATGCAACAAAAATTTTTGCAAAGCACTTGCAAATAGCTCAAAGAACTTGGACGAGCTGTATCATTTCAATGAAAGCATTTGGCTTTGGAACGCAATATAAAAAGAGTCCGATTCATAATCGTGAGAGAATGCAACAAAAATTTTTGCAAAGCACTTGCAAATAGCTCAAAGAACCAAAACTGTTCTCTATATCCCTCTCTCTTTTCATCCAAGCCTATAATGGAAGCACTAACCAGGGGCTGATTGAGGAGTGTCGTCATTTCGCCGTTCAGGAGAAACGTTAGTGTCTTCTTGGTGGAGACCCATGGCTTTCTTCAACTCTTCTGCAATGACAAAACCACGTCAACAGTACAAAATCAAGCAAAAATCTATTATGAAAATGTGATTTTTGTTTTCATGACGAAAATTCTGTCATAAGTTATTTTAACTTCGGCCGCGGTCCTTTCAATTTCTTCAGCGCTCCTGTCTGCTCAACATTTTTATATTCAATGTCGGCAGGTGACTCGATTTCGGGACCCGTTGTTTTAATTTCAGCAGCACAAGGGAATCTACTGTTTTTGGTAAAGATGGGCGCGGGGAGTGTGGAAGAAAAGCGCACCAGCGCATCGGGTATTTCCAGTGAATCATCATTATTTTCTCACGCGAAGGAAAACACATGGACATTGCTACTGGTTCTAGTCATCAGTAAGTTCTCTCCTTTGGGATCTGATCAAGAAAGTTTGTGCATGGTGAAACCGCGCAAAGAACTTCTGATGGGTTATTGAGCTCCGTATGAGCGTTTGCCATTTTCGAAATTTCAAGAAACATGAGCTGCATCAGAAGTACTTTGCGTGGTTTAACCATGCACAAACATGCATACACAAACATGCAAACGTAGTAAAATATTCATTATTCGCCGACATAGTTCTATGTGCTCGTGCTCTTTCTTTCCCTAATTCACATACACATGTTAAATATCCAAAACAAGATCCCCTTGTGCTGCCAAAGTTTAAACGGCGTAGGCCGAAGTCGAAAGTCACCTGTCGAAATTGAATTGAAAATCTGGGTAGCTGCGAAAATTGAAACGACAGCAGCTTAATTCGAGAGAACTCATGCCAAAATTTGTTGGGAAAACTGATATTATCTCTGCATTTCCATGTGAGCCGAAGAATATTGAAGAGACAGTTAGCTGGGTAAACAATCCCTTCTGTGACTACTGTGATATCCATTCTATGTACAGTAATTCCCATTCACGTTCCTGCGAAAAATCACCAGGCAATAGCAAAGGAATTCTTCACGCCTTCAAAATTGTTAGCACGCCTTGCACGCTTGTTTTAACTCCAGCGTCGGCGCCCTCCAATGGAGTACGAACATTCACGCTACCTGTTCCGTATCGTTCGTTTCAGCAGAAGTTAGAAATATATTGGTTCCTCTGCGTAATTGTAGGCCTCAACTGTGAATGTAAAGGGAAACTACTCCAAATTTGGACTGATATGACTCGAGCATACTTTCGGCCATCGCAGCTCCGGGGATGCGTACGCTATGTCGACGTCTGTGCTTCTAGTAATGGAGTAACACTTAATCTGAACAATTACTACTGCAAAGTTCTATGTTTCCTGGCATCTTTAGCGCTCGTATCACTTAATCCAAATTTAGTCTGAATAATATTGTAAATAAAGGAGCAAATAAATCAATACCGTGGAACATCTTTTGGAGATCAAATGCACTTGCTGGACAATTCTGGAAGAAAGCAGCCTAAAAACAATTATTGCAGGCATCACTAACATCATGTGATATTCTTGGAAAATGTATTGGCCCCCTTTAAAAGTTTAGGTAACGTGCTATGTCCCAGTTACCACCCCTCGAAATAAGTTAATAAAAGGCGAAGGGAATAATATGTACTCATTGCGGCATTCGACATTTTATAAAAGCATGGGAAGGAAGTATTGGTCGATAAACTGAGGCACGCACATTAGTACTACTCAGCTGGAAATCTGAGATTTGGAAGGTTCAAAGCTTACTGATAATTTTTCAAACACCTCAGAGGAAAGGAAAAAAAAGGAATGACCAATGGTAAAATTGTTACAGATCCGAATGAGTTCAGTGACTGTTACACCCGCTTTATTGGTAAAAGTACGTTTCAACGGCTTATGCTGGCACATGTCAATGATACTCATTAACGTATTCGTCAACATTCTAAGGATATTAGGTATATTGTGTAACGCTTCAAGTTCCTGGACTCCGGTGAACCAGATGGTCTGACTCCAGTCCAGTCAGATACGTAATGAACTAATTCAATTAACTCATTACCTTTATTTTTAACCAAAATCATTTCGGAAGCATGCGATTCCTGGACAATGGACACTTTTATGGTCATTTCTAATACAAATAAATGAAATCATTAGTCACAGTATTGTGAAACCAGTGAGCTTGTATTCATTTTTGTGAAACGCTATGGACATTTCTAAAAATAAAAATCACCAAAGGTTCGCATCACTTCAGTTGATGTTCTTAAATCCCCCTATATATAGTCAACATTACAAGAAGCACAAGACGCCATTCCATCTTCTTTTCCATCTTGAATTATGTGGCCGCCTCGAGTTATGCGGATGAACTTGCAAAGAAAGGTTCCGCTTACCTTCGATGGGATCGGATTTAACAGCCTTTGAGAACATAATTTTTCACTTTGGGGAAAGTACTTGGAGGAACTGAAGTAAAACATCAACTTGACATGGCCTAGTTTTCGTCTTAGCCTGACTTCAAGTCTCATCCATACATGTGTATTTGTGTACATGCAGACAAAAGCCGCTATCTCATAGATTACATGAGGAATATATCGAATTTAAGCAGTCACCCATAATCTCTTTGATCTTCCGAATTCCTAAAAGCAGTTCCGGGAAGATCCTGGCTTTTCGGATTTTCTTTTGTAATTGGCCGAACTCATTGCCAAGTGTGAATGGTCGGAGTATTATTATTTTATCTGACGACGATACGGAAAACTTCGAGTGGTTTTTCAATAGGATTGATTTGGATGAAGTGTGTGAAAGCAACGGAACCAACAAATTTGGATCAATTTCTTAAAGCGTAGCAATTTAAGGAGCTCACATTCATCCATGGTGCTCTCGGATGTTTTTGTATTTACAGTACATAGAATGAGTATTCGACGGGAGGAAAAAAGAGGAAATATTATGTCCTTCCTCACCTATGCTTGTTGATAATTCTTCTTTTCCCCGGTTCATAACCCACAATAGGGGTGATGTATGTTCTCTCCATTTCATTTCCACTTTCCCTCCGAAGGTAAGTTCCTCTCCAAGTGGAGCTGATACTCTCCCGTTGCCGTATACCGAAGGAAGTTTTTGCAATGGCATCTTTAATTGCCCTAGAAACACAGGAAGAGGCAAGGTAGGAACTGGCTAAATAACAGTTATTATGATAGCTTTGGCAAATAGGATCACATCTCCTCAATAAAGATCGAGATTTAAAAATATAATTCCCAGTAGTCTTCACCAGACAGAAACGAGAAAAGTCCTGAATGCTATATTTAGCATGAATTTGCGATGGGTTGACCAGAGAGTAAATAGCAAATGCAAACTTTATTACTGTTGCCTTTTTGTGATTACAGAAAGAACAGGTCACTTTTAGCTTCAAGTCATGATATGAAGCCCTTGAATAGATAGTCGATACTCATACGGCCCTTCGAGCTTCAAACTTGAAGTGAACATGAAAGAGATCCAATAGTGCAGAGGTCGGCAACCTAATTTCTACCTAAACTAATTTCTAGCCGAATTAACACGGCTCGACCCTATGGCGGGCCTGAGTATGTCATTTATGGTAATGACCTACTCGGAGGAGGGAGGATGGAGGATTTTAAAATAATAAATTAAATCTAATATATATAGACAATCGTGAGTGACTGAAACTTGGGGGGTATGTAGTTCTCCGAGTAATGCTTTAAGTAAGCAATTTTGCTTTTAGGTAAAACCCCTCAGGGGACCTCTTTGCAAGAGCCGTGCGAGTGCAGGTTGCAGCAGCTGGTGCCGTTTATCCCATTCTTAAAATATCGCACGACATGTAAACCATCTGGGCAGCTGGTGAATGTTCTCCACGGGTTATTTGCACCTTCCCACGATATCGCCGGTCACAGCACCTTCCTGATGCAGAAGCCAAATAGTTCATCGCTGCCCAAGCTGATGTACCTTCATACTTGTCCTTGCATATCATCGCCGCTGTGTCAATCTCTTATTCTCACAATGACTGGGATTGGAGTTCGTATCCGCAACGATCACTACATGGTGGCAGATACCAAACCTTGCACTGAATATGGTTGGCTGTTCAGTAGCATATACGGTTGTGAAAAAGGAAACAAACTATAAATACTTTTAGACCGCCTCTCGTATGTCAAATGTCGTTGTTCATAAGTTGAAAGACCTTATATTTAGATTTATCATTGGCATGAACACCGCCATTTGACAAATGCAACAGCCACATTACACTTTGAAGGAACACAACTCCATTCGGAAGTCTGAATCTTCTGAAATATACATGCATCCAGGCGTTAAAGATAACGACTAAATTGTTTCGTTTGGAAATCCATTAATGTGCCGAATATTGATATTTTATTGCTTAATGCAAGCATATAATGGAAATAGCGATGTTTATGAGTCAAATGGGAGATATGCATTAGTCTGGTTTCTTAACCAAGATTCCCATCGCTGTAATTTCAGTCATACCTTTCGTTTGGGAATTTGCAGAATTCAAAATTCCAAAAAAATACACAGGCATGAAAAGTAAAAGTAACAACACGAGTAATATATCAATGGAAAGCGCTTGGATAGAGCTTTCATTTGACACTAGTTGTAACTAGTTTATATCATGTTTAAAACAGGAAGTACGAACCGCCAAATTTGGTGAAAATAGGCAATTTTGGACTTTTCGAATTTGATTTTAAGTTGTTTCAAAAAACGTAGGAAGTTGAAATTTAGTTCTTAAATTGCCATTGCCTTAGTCTACAAAGTTGCGAAAGGTCGTGGTGTTACAATTGTATCTTATTGCTAATAATTTGCGTGCAAAATTCTGCAATATTTACCATTTTGGCAATTGGATAACTCGGTATCTAATAAACGCTGTAGGAAATGCATTTAATGATGCAATTCTTCGTGGACTCAGCTTTACTTAGAGTCCAAAAACGCGTCTCTTGATCGAATAGGACGAAAGATAGCGCTTTAAACCTAGAGGCCACTTTTCCTCTAGGGGGCGAAGTTTGGGGCCGCATATCTGGAGATCCGTTAGAACCAGAGAACCAAAATTTTTGATTTTTTCATAAGTCTTGATTGCCAGTTTGCAAAAAATTTTTTAAAAAGCAAATCGGAGTCTGAAGCCCAAAGAATGTGACTAAAATTTCACCACTTGAGCTGGAAATCCTCAGATGCGATTGACGAAGAGTCTAGCACAAGTGCACATGGAAGGAACAAATGTTTGGATACGTTCTTGGACATGTTTCAGCTGGTACGAAAACATTTGTAGCGTTTACCGTAGAATCTTGGCACGGTTGAATAGAGAAGATCCAGAAGGCGGGCGACGGCACGACTGTTGCTCGTTCCATGAGCGCTTGTGCTAGGCTCTGCGTCAATGGTAACTCTGATTTCAGAGACAAAATCTACAGGGGTTCAAATCCCGCTCCATGCAGGTGTTGCAAACACATCCCGTCTCCTCGAACTTATCGACCAAATTCATCATAGCTGGTCTCAAGCAGGGGTCCAAACGCAGGCTGTGTGCTGCGCGGTATTTTCGTAAGGCAACAACAGCATTATACTTGGTGTAGAAAAGCTTTATTAATTCGTCTCGCTTTATCATTAGAAAAACTTCATTAGTTCTTAGTCAAAGTTACGACTTTTCTATCTGTGGCCAAAAATGGTTACTTTCATTAGTGATTCAATTCTGCCAAGAGAGCAAATATTGTAAAAAAAATTAATAAAATGTTTCAAGACAGTCTCAAATAAAATCCCATGACCCCCTGAGTATCCCCCTAAAATTTCACTGTCTTATGCCTTACCGTTCTGGAGATATCGAACTTCAAAAGTGAACGTCTTTTTATGGACACCCTGTACTAATTTCAGGTGTTTGAAAAGTAATTGTCCATTGAAACACATAGGAATTCACATTTTCAGCAATTGCAAATCATTTTCTGCGGAACTTCTCATGATTTCTGTTTCAAACAAAATATTATGCTTTCCCTTGTGTTTTATTTATTTATTTTTGCATGGTTTCACCAAAAATGGCATTTTTCTGAATCACGTATCTTTGTGCATGAGACTGTGCAAGACATGTCTTCATTGCTCAGTTACTTTTGGAACTGCAAGGTAATTCTTCCTTGCGATTCCCCCTTTTGACTTTTGATATATGCAGATTATCCACTAACAACCATACCGGTACTATATTGAGGGATAAAACTGTGACAATGTTCAGCACTGATTCACTTAACGACCCATCTCGAGTATAAAGAATTCAATTTAATTATTATTTCAGTCAATCATACTCCTGCTTCAGGCTTTCGATTGTTGCTAGTCCCATGTGATCTAGTCTCCTATTGGCTGAGCTGCAGCAACTGAAAGCTAAACAGGTCATCGTCACAGGTGTGTCCCTCACTGTAGGTGCTGCCGCTAGTCGCAGAAAAGGAATATTCGACATGTAGAACAGAATATGGTTGAGAAGGAAGAACTTATTTTGATTATAAATACCCATTCTCCCACATTTTAATTCTGTTTCTTCAGTTCATTTCCCTTAAGATCCAAAATATTATGTATTAGGAGATATCTCGTTTGTTGAACACTTGCCATTAAAGAAGGCGGTCAATCCAGATTAAATAAATGTCAGCAAACTAATGAATTATTGGGTCATGAAAGAGACGCTTACCACCACAAGGGACAACAGGCAGGATGTTCTCCAGTGAATTTTGTGCGAAGAGCAGGATACCTCTCCATTTTTCATCTCCATTCTTCTGCATTTTGCAATCAGGCTTATGCAAGAAAGTATCTGGAAGATAATATGCATTCATATTTTAACTGTATGCAAAATCTCTATGCAAAATCTATCATTCACCAGCTACGGTCTTCTCATCATTACTGCCTCATTTTCATCCAAGAAATGGGAAATTCAAGTGATTTTCTAAGAAACATTCAATTCAATAATCAGAATCTTTCATAATAATATCAAGTGGACGTGAAAAATATTTTTATTGTAATATGCATAATAAAGCAAACCAAAAAGGCTGATTACATTTGTGAATCCACCCAAATCATTACTTTATTATTCATTAAAGTAAGTTTAAAAATTAGATTTGGAAGAGACACTCACAAGAACATTCCTTTTTTTGCAACTCCTCGTTCGGTTTCTTCCGGATGAGGACAATCACTCTCTGAAGAAAAACTGCTCCAATATAGAGGACGTCTAGGGGTTCCATTTTCCCCATAATCTTCTATAAGAGTGGGAGAACGATTCCTGTTGAAATCTGATTGAAGCTTATTTCCACAATTTTCCTCCACATGCCCAGAAAAAAAGTATATTATTATTTATTTATAATTTTCTTAACAAACAGAAAATTAAACTGCCTAAACACTTGAGTGGAAAGAGTTCAAATAGTTTTGAAACATGCCATAACATATTAGGCGGATCAGTTTGACATGAACCATGATTTATCATTTAATGACATAATTGTGAAAATTTTATTTTCAATTCTAAAACTTTTAAATTTTATTTTCTCCTTTCAAACAAAAACAACAAAAATCAGTGCACACAAAGAACAATCAGCGCATTAGTTTATCTTTGGATATGGTGAGCAAAATTGTTGACAACTTTCCAAAGACACTGGAGCTGTGCAACGAAGCAGGAGGTGGCCATTTTGAAAACAAGTGTTTCTATTGTCGTCCCGAAATTGTAAACTTTGTTTTTGTTCTACTGGTTTAAAAAAGTTGCTCATTAAAAAATTATTTCATTTCTCATTTTGTGCGGGCATTTTTTCCGCACCCTCTATTTCCCAATATTTTTGGCTGAATTAGGTTTTTTTTGGATGAGGTGAAAAATAATCGGCAGTGTATTCAATTGAAATGCTGAGTAATATACATTTACAAGGCAAAAGTTTTACTGACGCGCGAATTTCACGATGGCTAAAAAATAGCAGAAATTACAGATCATATGATACCAATCGGCCTGATATTTTAGGGAGTGTTTTCTGACTAATGGAGCTATTTTTATTAAAATGCTTTTGCAGTTTGGTCCCCTGGTTGCCGAGAAACTGAAGAATAAAAAATGTTGTACCTTTTCTGGGAACCTTTATATACCAGAAAGTCTTAATAGAAAACACTTTCTCCTAATGAATCACTACATGACATGGGATCACTATCACCAACAGTATATGCTGACAATTTTTGCACTAAATCTGATGAATTTCCTATATAAACTGAAGAAGTATTTATCCGTAATAGTGTCATTAGTATGAGGAATCGTCGATTCCACAACAAGGCCAATATCGACATTATTGCCTCATGCCTTCCTCTCATAGGCATATTTTAACATGCAAAAACTAAAACTGTTAACTTTCGATGACACCCATGAATGCATTGCCTAATTTCATGGCATATAGCAATTATGAAACGTAACTCAAACAGAACAGAGATGCTAAATATGGGCTAAACATGTTTATGTAATTGTGATAAGCATAATATGATTTCACCATTACTTCTTTTCAAAGACATATTATAGGTCCTGAACCCCCCAAGCTTCCCCAAAATATGTGTTGAACGTAATCACACTCATTTTCATCAAGTCAAAAGCAATTCACATAACCACTTCCGTGAGGGATATGATTGAGTTTTTTGCAAAAAAAATCAGCGAATTTATCCAAGTTTGTATAACTGCAGAGGTGAAAAACTATTGCCCAGAAGAGTGACAACCATATATTAAATGATTTAGTTAATTTAGGAACCCATGTAAGCATGCTTCCCCATGTCAAAGTCTGCCCCATTTATACCACTCTTTTTCACATCAATTTGATTTGTGATTTTACTATAAATCATCAGTTGTTTCCTGCTTTGGCCCCTGTTGAACACTTAGCACTAACGTTCTAACTAACGTTAACTTCATATATTTCATTTTGCAAATGAAATTAAATGAAATAGCTCAAAATAATACCTGAAAATATAAATTATATTTCAGTCATGAGTTGTGTTCTTACAGTCTACCACCTGTAGAGCAACCTTTCTTATTTCTCCTTTTTCGCGTCCATTGTTTTCCCGCTTTCGAGAATCTCAGCCTTACACTTACAGGGACCATTACGCCTATATTCCTTCTGTTCATGCGGGCCACCCTTCGTTTGTCTAATTATAAATGCATATTGAGGTAAACACATATACAGAATGAAGGCAAAATCTCTTGGATTAGTTTTTCAAGCAAAAGGATCTAGTCGCTACCAGGTCAATTCAGGAAGGATTGCTTGTCAAACTGATGAATGCCAATAATTGATGTTTCACAATCGCATTCTTAATAATTTCTACATTATAATTCTCGGAAACAAGCCTATCATAATCGATTGAAGAGTAAATTGATAGCTCCCAATGTCATGTTTCTTGGTGTGGTTACGGACAAGTTGAATTTCAATGCAAGTAAAGACTATTTTTTCAAGGTCCGACAGTCACTCCTTTAACTTTTTTGATTCGCCATACTCAATTCCTGGTACCCGCGGCCCAATCATCGATTTCGGTCGTGGATTTACTCAACCATTATTGCAACAAGGTCTTCCCCTCTATTGTGAAAGCCTTCCATACGATATTTTATATTTTAATTTTGAAAAGGCTAAGTCGCCATTCGTGACAAAGAATGTCCTGATTTCAGATATTTGTTCTTGGGAAGTGTTTCATGCGAAAGCTGTGCTCTCATTGAGATAATAGAAACGAAATAGAGAATAAATTATTTGAAGATATCAACAACACTGTCATTCAGGCAAATTGTCCATATAGACAATTATTTTCTCCACAATTTCGACTTTCTGAATCAGGTTCATTCAACAATGGCAAGACAGATGAACTAAGATTTATGTATTGGCTCATGTATTGATTCATGCTGACAACACAGACAAGGACCCAAGGTAGTAAGAAAACATTCCAATCCGTTCCATACGAACATACAGCATGTAGGGGCTATTCAGCATCTTAGAGGATGACTACGAGTGCATTTCAGATATCGGTAGAGACATCATTCAAGACTTGTAGCTACTGGCCTAGACCAACTTGGTGTTTCATTAACAATCTCGAGTAATATTTCTTCGGATAGGCTACCTCTACATTTAAAACCTATATTGGATGCCATTATCAAAACCTGAAGAAAAATGGGAAAAAGAGAGCACAAAAAATTCGCTAAGTGTGAATAAATAAGTAATAGTGACCCGCATTAGACTAATAAATAAAAAATTTGAATGAAATAATTTTCCTTCCTGCATACATTTGCGTAATTATGGCAACAGACGAAAAACTCAGACTGAGCTCATTTAATCCTGAAAATAAGTTCAAGAAAAACTAGATACAGGCTGGGAAAAACTATTATAAAACTTGTCAATTTCAATTAGTTGGCAATCTCATCACAGGCTGTCCATTCGGATTAAATTTTGGAGGCTATATTTAATCTACATTTAAGCATTTTCTTTCCATGGAATGGAATTTGTCCATTTTGCTTTTCTTCTGTTTGCTTGTTTTCGTCAGTTTGGAGAAGTATGGTGTTTAAGGAGAAAATGGAAAATTCCTATTAGTGATGAAATGAATATTGAATGCCATTCTCGCATTCTTTAAAGTGACTTGAAATGAACCTTGTCACCGTATGTAGGAGATAAAAAAAAATTCTTAAAACCATTTTTTTTCTTCAATGCCAATCTTTCCATGTCTTTCGTTTTACTTAAGCAAAACAAATTTTATGGAGGGGGAATGAGTAACGGAACATGGAAGGCAAAAAAAGCCAAATGAAAACCAAGGAATGGCCGGGAATTGAACCTCGGCCTTATGATTGCCATTCAGATATGTTACTACTACACAACAGAATCCGACACATCAAGTTGACTCTCTGAATGCCATCCTCATCTGTCACAAAATATATTTAAGAAAACTTTTCCCCCAAAATTTGTACCCCCAGGACATGTACCTCCAAAGTCGGATTTTTTGTGCTCTCTTTTTCCCATTTTTCTTCAGGTTTTGATAATGGCATCCAATATAGGTTTTAAATGTAGAGGTAGCCTATCCGAAGAAATATTACTCGAGATTGTTAATGAAACACCAAGTTGGTCTAGGCCAGTAGCTACAAGTCTTGAATGATGTCTCTACCGATATCTGAAATGCACTCGTAGNCGGATTTTTTCTGAACTCTGCATCCCAAAAGGAACATGTGTGTCAAGTTTCAGATTTCTAAGCCTTCTAGAACATGGTTAGAATTATCGTCAGTCAGTCAGTCACGATCGTCTATATATATTAGAAACTAGCGAGTACCAAGTTTCATCTTTCCACACTAGCTCAGTACGCCAGGCCAAAAAAAAAAACAGTTGGAAACGTCGGCCCCAAAAGACATGCCCCATGGCAAGGACATAACGTTTTGCATTTTTCATGAACTCATCGTCTAGGTAGGCACGTCTATACCAAGTTTCACCTTTCCATTTCTTTACGTTTCATTCAAGCAAAAATAATGTTATGGATGGGGAATGAGTAACGGGACATGGAAGGCAAGAGAAGCCAAGAAAGGCATGGAGCGGCCGGGAATCGAACCATGGCCTCCGTTTTAACGGTCAGATGCGCTAATGCTACACCACCGAAACAGGAACATTCGGTTTTCTCTCTCGATGACATCCTTTTCCTTCACAATATATATTTACGAAATCTTCTCCCAACAAAATGTGTAGTCCCAGGGCATGTCCCGCAATCGCTAAATTTAAACAAAATTGCATCGTTCAGTGTGTGACGAAGAAATAGTGCTTCGCGGACTGTTGAGTCATTACTGGAAAAAAAGCATTTATGCACAAAAGTTTTCGTTACAACCTAGTAGAAGTAGAGAAAAAAGATTTGCTTTCCAAATATTTGAAAGCATATCATTTTTCTCCACATCACAAGATCCGGATCCTGACCGGAGGGGGGGGGGGGGGTGTGCAACCTATTTAACTAGACATTGGCATCGGATGTCGCTATGAGCTAAGCTTTCATTAAGTGCCCTTTTCCTAGAGTTGAATCTTGTTCCTTATATGTCACTCACATGGAGTCATACTTCATATATTTCCTCGCAAATATAACCGGTGGCTGTAACATTACCAACATAGTGAATGCTTAGAAGTTCTCTCGAGTGTATTTAGCGATGTGTTCAACGTTTCTACAAAAAAAGTAGTGCACTTGAGAACCTTTAGGACAGGTAAATGCATGAGGGAGCCGGTAAGGTAGATGGAAAGGGCCTCCATCACTCCTTGGGTACCATTGTTTGCCCTCAGTGGTACAGGAGGGTACTCTTCATCCCACTCTATCCCATTTTCTTTCAGTTCCTGAAGAATATCGTTTTCATCCGTAGCTTCAGGAACTGCCCCATTGCATCCTGAAAGAGAAACGGGAGTGAATTAAAACCTGGGGTTTTCTAATGTACCTCTACAATCTCGACTTTTACAAAAAATGATATTTGTGGGGGCATTTATAAACAATGGGTACTCGGAAGGCAGGAAGAACTATGTTAACACCACGAGAGTGAATGAAAAAAGTTATAAATCTGAGGCTTATTTGACATGTAATTTTCTTTCATGTGAAGACGTCTCTGATGGGTGACTGAAAAAATTTCATATTTTCAATAAGCAAAGCTTTTGTAATATTTTCCAATGTGCTACCAATAAGGTCTACTGAATGGACATTTTTTAGGCGAAGGTTGGTAGGTACGAAACAGAAGCGGAATTCAATGCTTTAACACAACATAGCCAGAAACAAAAATGAAATAGAAACTTAAAGTCTTGAAATCGTGATGATAAAATTACTGATATTCGCCACTTCCTCCTGTAATTTTTTCCCTGCCCAGCCAGCCAAACGTCAAACACCAGAATAGGGAATGAGTTCGAATTTAATTGGAGTATTAACTGAGTCACTGACTAGCCATTTCACAGGTGAATATTTTAGAGCAGTGGTGCCCAAAGTGCGCCAGTGGGTAACATTCAGCACGCAAAGCGTCTTAAGAACATCCACTTTGGCCACTCATCTTTTATAGGTTATCATTAACGCGCCTTCACAACCAGATGCTACCATCAACAAGGATATTTAAATTGCTTCTTAATTCTGCAAAACATGAAATAGGTTCTACCTCCAGACGCGAGATCGTGCCTGACTCCCAATTTAGAGATTCCATTCCTAATGTCCCAGGAATGAGTCTCCGCTATTTTCGATATGGTACCCTATGGTACCCAAGTACAACTTAGAGGGAAATTGAAGATTCTGAATGGTGTTGAAAAAAGGATGGGACACATTTTAAAATGAAATACCTCTGCAATGGATTAACATTTTACATATTTCAAGAAGATATGTAAACCGGAAACATGGAAATTTTCAATAGNTGCAATGGATTAACATTTTACATATTTCAAGAAGATATGTAAACCGGAAACATGGAAATTTTCAATAGATACACCAGGGTTTGAAGAAAAAAGGTCAGTCTAATGACCGCCACAGGCAATACATTCACATGCTGCCACTTCCATCAATCACAATCTTACGGAGAATGTTACCTGGAATAGCCTGACAACCCTGCATTGGAGGTTGTGACTGGTTGTTCTCCAATAAAGGGAGAAAATTGCCTGAAATATGATACCAGACGCTCTACATCCTCGCAGGTCAGAACGAGGTACGTTACTACAATTACAACAACGATTCTAATCCTATTAGGAAGTTCCACATTCCCAAAGAATCATCCAAGAATAGAAGTATTTGCTCGACTACCTTGAAGCTGAGAAGTATAAGATCATATTTCATGATACGAGAACATTCATCAGGAAATATTCAATACTCAGTCAATACAGTTATGTATCGCG